AGTTCTTGTTCTCCTTAAAGGAACTCATAATGACTTCAGTTACTGTCCTCTGACAGTCTTGTCAGAGACTAGAGTTTGGCAGAGCATTTCAGGGTTCAAAACAAGAATAGAAGGAGCACGTTCAACTCACTTCTGCCATCTTATTCCATCATGGTGCTATTAAGAATAATTTTTTAAAAATAGATTTGTTTGTGAAACAGAAGAGATGGCTCAGTAATTAGGAGTATGTACTAGATTCCTGGATCAGTTCTTAGCAGCCATGTCAGAAATCTTACAACAGCCGTTAAGTCTAGCTCTAGAAGATAATGACACCCTCTTCTAGACTCCAGGACTACCTGCACTCAGACGTATATAGCTGTACACAGACACATGCATACCTGTATTTAAAGACAATAGTGAAAATATTTTTAAAAGGTGCTTGCCTTACGTATGTGTGTGTGTGTATGTATGTATGTATGTATGTATGAGTGGAGGGCATTGGATCCCCTGGAACTGAAGTCACATGTGGTTGTGAACTACTTTGTGGGTTCTTGGAGACATATGCTGGTCTTCTGCAAGAGCAACTAGTACCCTCTCAACTGCTGAGCCTTCTTTTCTAGTCTCCGTGGTGTAAGTCTTTATTGGAGTAGAAACTCTCTCCTCAGGCACCAGTGCCTTGCTATTGAGAGTACTGCACCAGATTCTGCTACTGGCATTCTGTCATTTTGATTGTCTTTTTCTAATAGCTTCTCAAGTACTGTGCTCGTAAATGATTTACATCCTTTGTCATTAAAGGAAGAAACTACATTGTCATTGTAACATTATGTACCTTTCTTCTTAGGGCAGCAGTTGGATGAATTCCTCCAGCTTGCTATGGATACAGTGGAGACTGGCCTGGCCTCTGGATCTTCTCGTAATCAGGCTTTCGCTCTGCTGCTCTGGGTGAGGAGGTATCATAGACGCTGGTTAGATAGACAAAATATTCATGATTGTCCCTCTTCTACTGTTGTGTTAAAATACCATGACTGAGATACCTTATAAAAAAAGTATTTAATTGGGTTTACAACTGGTCTTGGGGTCAGAGGCATGACAGCTGGAATGGCTGTGGGCTCACATCTTGATCCAAAATCAGGAGGCAGAGAAAGACGCTGTGGCTTGAGTCTTGAAATCTCAAAGCATGCCCCAATGACATACTTCTCCAGCAAAGCCAAACCTAATCTTCTCTGAACAGCCACCAACTGGGGACCAAGTATCCAAATGGCTAAGACTTATGGGAAACATCTCATTCAAACTACAAAAGCCCCTGAGCCACCATTTGTAACAAGTGTGCTTGGAGTTCTGGAGTTTGAATGTCAGACCCTTACTTCTCTTTCCTCTGCTTACAGGTAACCAAGGCTTTAGTCCTCAGATACCATCCTCTCAGCACCTGCCTTACCACCCGAGTAAGTCTTTCCTGATACATAACTGGAATCTAAACAAGAACCTCCTTTTGATCCCATTTCCTCTTACTAGTATTTTTGTTGGGCATGGTACCACATGCCTTTTACTCAAGGCACTCAGGCAGAGGCAGACAGATCTCTGAGTATGAGGCCAGCCTGGTCTGCCTACAGAGAGTTCCATCCAACCAGGGCAAACAGAGCTACCCATCTTAAAAGAAAAAATATATTATGTGTATATTTTGCTTTTATGTACACATGCTTGCTTGCTGCCCAAGGAGAGCAGAGGACATAGCCAGATACCCTGGAAATAGGGTATAAATGTTTGTAAGACACCTTGTGGGTGCTGAGAACTGAACCCAAGTTCTCTAAATGAACAGTAAGTGATTTCAACCACTGTCCTCCTATCCAGGCCCTTGTTTATTACTTGGGTTTTTTGTTGTTGTTTTGTTTTGTTTTTGATTTTTGAAACAGGGTTTCTCTGTAGCTTTTGGTTCCTGTCCTGGAACTAGCTCTTGTAGACCAGGCTGGCCTCGAACTCACAGAGATCCGCCTGCCTCTGCCTCCCGAGTGCTGGAATTAAAGGTGTGCGCCACCACCGCCCGGCTTAGCCCCTTGTTTATTATTCTTATGAGGCTTTCATCCTTTTTGGTACTTGAGAATTTTCTTTCCAGCATACCTCAAAGGCTTTTTTTATTTATGTATTTATTTTGGTCCCACCAGCTCATGGGCCTCCTCAGTGATCCAGAACTAGGCCCTGCAGCAGCCGATGGCTTCTCTCTACTCATGTCTGACTGCACTGATGTGTTGACTCGTGCTGGCCATGCTGATGTTCGGATTATGTTCCGCCAGCGGTTCTTCACAGACAATGTGCCTGCTTTGGTCCAAGGCTTCCATGCTGCTCCCCAAGGTGTCTGAAAGCTGAACCCCAAATCCATGGACATCTCCTTGGCCAGTCTCTACAGTAATTTAAGATCCAGATGCTTTATCGTCAGAGTGATCTGCACCTACAAAGCCACACTTTCATCTCTTTTCCTTGATGGGTACATCGGAGCTATTGTGAGCTCAAGAATCTTAAGAGAGAGAGAAAACGAACATGTTCATGTGGAAGCCAAAAGTCAACATCAGCTATCTTTTATTACATTTTTTTAACTGCATACTACACAATATGTCTGTGGAGGTCTTTCCTTCCACCATGTAGGTCCCAAGGTTTGAACTCAAAATCATCAGGCTTAACAGCAGGTGCCATTAACTTGCTGGTCTGATTGCTCTTCCATTGTTTACATGTTTGTTATGTGTATGTGCTCAGGGATCAAAGAAGAACTTATAAAAGTTATGCCAGATGGGTTCCAGGGATTGAGCTTGGGTCATACAGGCAAGAGCCTTTACCTAAGAAGCTATCTTGCCAGCTGTTCTACTTTAATTTTTGAGAGAAGATCTCTCAGTCAGCTTAGATTGGCTAGCCAGCAAGCCCCAGGTGCTCTGTCCACTCCCCCAAGGCTGGCATTATATGTGCGCATTTCCCTGCCACACTTAACCTGTTTACATAAGGTTCAGTGGGACTTGAACTCAAATCTACACGCTCACAAACAGCACTTTATCTTCCCTAGCCTCAACTCCATCTTTAAACAGGTCTCATGCTGTAGATCAGGCTGGCCTTAACTCCCCCTGCCTCAGCCTGCTGAGCCCTGTAACTATTGCCTTCAGCTATCACACTCCCTACTCATTATAGACTGATATTCTCAAACTGAATGTCTAACCCCAGTTTTTTTCCTAAGCATCATCTTTTTCTTTTTCCCTCAGATGTGAAGCCAAACTATCTAAAGGGTCTGTCTCATGTACTCAACAGGCTGCCCAAGCCTGTGCTTTTACCAGAGCTGCCCACAGTGAGTTCTATAATCACCCCTCAGAAAGGGAGAGGGCAGATATAGATCTAAGACCATAATGTGCATCCCATTTCCATTGGTTCTTAGCTCCTTTCCTTGCTGCTGGAGGCACTGTCCTGCCCTGATTCCGTGGTCCAGCTTTCTACTCTCAGCTGTCTCCAGCCCCTTCTACTGGAAGCACCCCAAATCATGAGTCTTCATGTTGATACTCTGGTCACCAAATTCCTGACCCTCAGCTCCAGTCCTTCAATGGTGCGTTGAGCCCCAGCACATCCTTTGGTACCTTTCTCCTTTTGTCTGCCCTGACCTCATTTGTGTTCCAGGCTGTCCGGATTGCTGCTCTGCAGTGTATGCATGCCCTCACTCGCCTGCCCACTCCTGTGGTAAGTCTCGGGAGTCAGAAATGCTTGTTTAATGCTGTTGTCCAAGCTGGCCTGACTTGCTATAATCATCCTACTTCAGTGTTGGGGTTACAAATGTGGACTGCCACACCTGGTTGAGTACTTAACTTGCTTTCAAGTGAGATTAGCTACCCAATTCTGTGTGAGAAGATAGAACTACATACATCGTACAAATAAACATAGACTCCCCTACGCATCTTGAACTCAGAATGGATCCAGTAAATCCTGACCACCTCGTAACACTGGTAATCCTGCCTCTTCCCATCAATTTAGAATCATTAAAGGATAAGGCACATGGGATATAGTTAATGTGTGAAGCTGGCGTTCAGACTTTCAGATTAAAGGGGGGACATAGACCTTGAGAGATGGCTCATTACTTAAGAGCACTGACTATTCTAGAGTACCCAGGTTTGATTCCCGGTACCCACATGGCAGCTCACAACCATTTTCAACAGTCTTAGGGATACACCCATATATTAAAAACATATATTCAAAAATGTGGGTCACATTTCACTTCCATCAGGATGTGAGTTATAGGTGTCAGAGAAGCAGAATTTCCTATTTCTCATTCCAGCAAGAGTTAAGATGATGTCCTCTGACTTCACAGCTACTGCCATACAAATCCCAGGTGATCCGGGCCTTAGCCAAGCCTCTGGATGACAAGAAGAGACTTGTACGCAAGGAAGCAGTGTCTGCAAGGGGAGAATGGTAAGCTGTAGACTGAAGGAAGTGGTGGGACCAAGGAAAACCTCAAGGTAATATTGCAACATTTGTGCCTACAGGTTTCTGCTGGGGAGCCCAGGTAGCTGAACCCTTGGTCCTGGCCTAGCCCCTTCTGACAATCTAACCTGCAGGGACTAACTATTGAGCCACCCTCCAAGGCAAGGAGACCACTGACCTGTCTTCCCCATGGATGTAGTACAGATGCTGGGTCCCTCATGCATGGCTGTGCAAGACAAGACACTTGAGTCCTGATTTCTAGTGGATTGTTGAAGAAACTGAATGGGCCTTGTATTTGAGGAAAAGATGTTGGATTTTGGAGCTCCCCTATATCAGGAAAAGGGAGTGTGACCTTGGGAGCCAGGGATGGTGTTTTAAGTGTGTTCATTTGCCAGAGAATAAAAAGGGTTTTTTTTTTTTTTTGGTAATGGGTGGATTGATATGTATTTCCTTTATTCTACATATACATAGCACATAGAGTTCTGGAGAGCCTCTAGCTCTTCAAAATAAGGAGACACCAAATTTAGCAGGCCTTCTTTATCTAGACCTCCCCGACACCAAGGCAAACACAGAAGCTATTCATCTTTACAAATCAAATGCCTTTATTTCTGCTCCTTCTGCAGCACGTGAGAAATGGCAGTGACCTTGGCAATAGGCTTATTGTTTTTGTCCCATTCAGAAGCCAGAATTTCAACATACCTGACAAAATCTTTTCCCAAAGTGAGAGATGGTGGCTAGCCCCAGTGCTGTGACCTAGAGGACATCAAAGTCAGCATCGGATAAGGTAGCTAGTTGTCTGACCCCTGGTCTGGGGCTAAAATTTGTTTGCCTGAGTAAGGGACATCAGTCGTAAGATTTCTCCACTTTTTTTTTTTTTTTTTTTTGGTTTATCAAGACAGGGTTTTTCTGTGTAGCGTTGGCTGTCCTGGAACTTGCTCTGTAGACCAGGCTGGCCTGGAACTCAGAAATCCACCTGCTTCTGCCTCCCGGGTGCTAGGATCAAAGTCATGTGCTGCCGTCACCCAACTGTATCTTGTTTTGAGATGGCCAGAAGATTGCTCTTGAGTTGTCCCTAAGTAGTACTCTAAGGCAGGCCTAGTGGCTCTTTATGGTCATGGATTCCAAAAAAAGCTGCCCTTGGAAGTTCTTGAAAGAGACATAACAAGCATCGAATAATGTTCAAGTTGTTACTCACACAGCCATCACAGAGGCTGAGTGAGCAGTCACCCAGGGAGGAGGGTCCCAGGTCATTCCATTCCCATGGGGTAGGTGACTAGAAGGTAACAGCACCCGGGTCAGCCAGTGCCTGTGAGAAATGACCAAGAAAACATGCCTTTAGTTCTGAGTTCTTGGGTTGGATGTCAAACATCAAACACGAAGATGATGAGAGTTCTAATCTCTGTCTGAGAACTGTATCCTCTGGGGCTCTAAAGCCATCTTGAACATGCTCTCTCCTGTGACTTCCAAGTGCTAGGATTACAGATGTGCACAACTGTGCCTGGCCTAATAATTTACAGTTTGAAAAATGGTTTTCTCTTGTCTCTTGGACTGAATAGAGCTAACCTCATATTGCGGTTGGATCCCTGCAACATGTAGGTCGGTCACCTCAGTCTCTCACACTGTCAAACAAATAAAAGATAACTAGCGCCTACTACATCCTACCTATGTGCCCTTCCCTAAGAACTGTGTTCTCAGTACTCTTCTGTAGTCGCCTTGAATAGGAGCTCTTAAACCACAGTTCTAGGGCTGAAGAGATGGCTCTTGTTCCCACAGAGGACCTGGGTTTGATTCTTAACAGCCACAGAGCGGCTTATAACCAACTACAATTTCAGTCCCAGGGGATCTATCCACTATCCTCTCCTGACCTTACAGGCACCATGCATGTACATGATAATATGCATATAGCAAATGTTTCCTTAAATTTACAGTTTTAGCCTTGGGCCCCAGTGGTTCAAATAAAATGGTAGCTATTCTTATTCCTGAGAATAATTATAAATTCCTCAGTGGCACTAGCCACATTCTCTGCTTCTGTGGACAGACCATTTTCCCTATCATGGGAGTTTGGTTCCACAGCACTGTCTTTACCTTCACCCCAATTACAATCTCTGCTTCTGGGTATGGACCATCTTCCCCATCACAAAGCTGTTACGTAGCACTGCTGTCTGTCTTTACCTTCCTGTGTCCACACCTAGGAACACCTTCCAGTTGTCCAAGCAGCCATAGTTGTAAGGATTCCTAAATACCTAGAGACAAGAAAAAATATATTTCTACAAACTTCATCTGCTTAATCTCATCTTGGAGATAAGGTTAGAGCTAAATTATGACTTTTTAGAACTTGTCTAGTCAGCCCTGATTATGGACTGTTTATTAGATGAGGATCCAGTTACCCACCTGCTCACCCAGGTCCCCTCTTCCCCACTCACTCTGCCCTTGGCCTGTAACCGACGTCTCTCCTTCTTGTTGATATGCCTTTCAATGCTAGTCTCACCCCGACTGATGAGAACAGCATGCCATATGGTTAGGGCACCCAGAGCCAGTGCCACAGAACTAAGAAAGGCAAAAATTGGTAGAAATTAGAAGCTAGAAAACAGTGGGAAATCAAGCTTGTGATTATGACTAGCTCATAGCCTCTGCCTCACTTCCCTTATCTCCTCATATATGGCCTAGGTGAACATGTATTCTACCTCTTAAAGATCTAGTGTGTTTGAAAAGATGGCTCAGCAGTTAAAGGCACTCAGAGGTCCTGAATCCAATTCCTAGCAACCACAGGGTGGCTCACAACCATCTGTAAAGAGATCTGGTGCCCTCTTCTGGCCTACAGGCATATATGCAAGCAGAACATTGTGTGTACATAATAAATCAATTCACTTATTTATTTATTTGGTTTTTCTGGTCAGGGTTTCTCTGTAGCTTTGGAGCCTGTCCTGGAACTGGCTCTTGTAGACCAGGTTAGCCTCAAACTCAAAAGAGATCCACCTGCCTCTGCCTCCTGAGTAGTGCTGGGATTAAAGGCATGCACCACCACTACCTAGCATAAATTAATAAATCTTTTTTAAAAGATCTGTTAAAGTGAGTTTTAAAAAATGTATACAGAAAGGAAGATGGGAAAATAAGTACACTGAGAAAAATGTAGAGTTCCTTAAAATGTCCATACTTAGAAAATGGCGGAGGGAGCTGGAGAAATGGCTGAGCAGTTAAGAGTACAGACTGCTCTTCCAGAGGACCTGAGTGCACCCATATGGCAGCTTAAAACTGTCTGTAACTAGTTCCATGGGACAAGACACCCATGGCAAAACACCAATGTACATAAAGAAAAATTAAAAAAAAAAATGGGGCTGGAGAGATGGCTGAATGGTTAAGAGCACTGCCTGCTCTTCCAGAGGACCCTCAAACTCACAGATATCCTACCTCTGCCTCCTGAGTACTGGGATTAAAGGTGTGCACCACCACGGCACAATGCACATTTTAAAAAAGAAGAAAATAGAGGGCCCGGCATGGTGGTGTACACCTTTAATTCCAGTACGCGGGAGGCAGATACAGGCAGATCTAAATGAGTCTTGAGGCCAGCCAGTCCCAGAACAGCCAGGGCTACATAGAGAAAGCCTGTTATGATAAACCAAAAAAAAAAAAGGTAGAGGATCATATAAGCATAAGAGGTTGGAATGGGGGTTGGCAGAAATTCATATTTCTACTCTGCAACTCCTAGCTGCACATCATAGGACAAATCCCTTTACTTCTCTGAGTTTTCAATTTCCCTTGTTTTGTGTTTAGTAACAAATAGAGTTACTTGTTTTGTGGTTAGGAATCAATAAAAACAATAGCTTAACTTACCTTGGTACATAACAAGAATGATTGTATTAATAACCTGCAATGCTAAAGAACTCTTTGACAGCCTCAGCTAGACTATGACAATGGTAGGTTACTTAAGAGATGAGTCCTTCCTGTGTGTGGGCACCTACAAAGGTTTTCTTATGTTTCCCTCCCTTAAAACTATCAAAACTGAGTTAAATACCTGCACAGGAACCAGAGGTAGACAAGACTCTTGTGAGTTATTCTTTCTCGAAAGGAGAAGGTGGGTGGTGGAGTCTGGTGGTAAGTCTATAAAAAAAAAAAAAAAAAAACAGCAAAGCCTGGCTCCCTTGCTCTGTCAGTCTTCAGCAACTGTCACCAGAGCCCCAAGCACCTACAGGCAGGAATTAATAAAACTAGGCAGATAAAAATGGGGATTAAAGCCACAGAGGAAATCAGACCAGCAGCCAGATGGGTGGACCAAGCCCAGTGGCACCATCACACAAACAGACAGTGGGTAGAGCAGGTCTGGACAAGATAGCAAAGCACAAAAGGGGCTGAGTTGTGGGTTGACAGCAGTAACGGGACTCCAGGGGAAGCCACTCCTATTTCTAGCCAACCACATTCCCTTCACTCTGTGGCTGCATCCACTAGAGATAGATCTAGACCTCACATGGGCTAACGGCAGGGGGTTGTGGAAAAGCAACAGGAGTGCTATATACAAGTCAGATGTTCACAGATTCACAGAATAAGGGGTCCTAACAGGAATAGGGAAGGGGAAATGATCCTGAAGCTACTCGCCCAGCATGGTATCTGTCCCCTGGAACCCCATTACACAGACTAACAGACCCCTTGCTGCTCAGGCTATCAGGAAGGCAGAGTCTAGGCTAGGCTCAGCCCAAAGAAGTGATGATGCCATAGATTAATTAAAACTTCCATACCAGAGACTTCCAGTTTGCCCCCAGGCTACTTAGTTTACCATGACAGCTTCCTTAGAAACTTCTGGCCTGGTCTGGCAACTAGCCTGCAGGCCCTTTCACATAAATAACTCTTAAACCCCCAGGCCCGAGCAGCAGGAGGCAGTGGTGTGGAGACTGCCCACCTGGTTGGCAATTGCCTGTAGTTTGTTCTTGTCAAGCTGTTTCATTTTCTAAGGGGACGGAAAACAGTGCTGGTTATACTCTTGGGCCACTAGGACAACCCCATCATTGGGAAAAGGTTTCTGTTCTGTTCTATTGCGTTCTCTTCCTAACCATGGGCTTACCTCAATGGCAGCGTAAGCCTCTCGGAAAAGGTCCCAACTTCCATAGCTACAGTAGACACAACCCAGAGTCATGAAAAAGCAGAAAGAGAAGAAGTAGCGATGGTTATAGTGGCCCACACAGTTGTTTAGCCAGGCTGGTGAAGGAATGATTAAGGACAAGATCAAATCTATAATTTGGGGGTGTCTAAGCCCCTATAGCTCATCCTTAGTTCAAGGCATCACCCAAGCAAAGGCAAGAATAGAGGACAGTTTCCCAAGGTTAAGGTAAAAATTGTCCATGCTTTTCAGAGCTTTCAGATTCCAAGAATCTTAACTACCTGCAAATACTCAACCTAACTCAGGCTAGCCAGACATGTGCATGGAAAGACAAAATGGGACCCACAATTGTATCTGGCGCCTCCAGCCACAAAGGCCCTTTTGATTCTCCACAAAAGACCTTCCAGGAGAGCTGGAGAGATAGCTCAGCAGTTAAGGGCACTGACTGCTCTTCCAGAGGACCTGGATTCAATTCCCAGCACCCACATGGCAGCTCACATTTGTAACTCCAAGATCTGACGCCTTCACACAGACATTTATGTAGGCAAAACACCAGTGCACATAAAATAAAATATTAAAAAAAAAAAGACCTTCCAGAAAATTCCTTTCTCCTACAAGATCATTCTAGAAGCCTATAAACATTCTGCTCCCCCACCCAAAAAGATGGTATGCCCCAACAATGCCTCTTCTAACTTCTCATGAGTCAGTATTCTTTGGAGATTGATGCTAATTAGAAAGTCTTGAGCTTGTGCCTATGAGCCCTGTGCAGTGACTGCTCTGAGGGGAAAACCGACGGTCCTGGCTGGGTCTTGGGCTGAAGAGAGCAAAAGGATACGGCAGTGATGATCCATCTTCAGCACACACCTGTGAGGGAGGGACACAGGCTGTGTTACGGTGGCCAAGGATCTTGAGATGTCAGTGACAAGGCTTTCCTACTAGGACCAGCATCCTGCTGAGGTGGAAAGGGCACAGACTCTGATGACAGCCAGGCCTTCCTTCAAACCCAGTTCTGTTGTTTATTGGCTAGGTGACAAGGAAACATCTCGTCACCTAGTTTGTACAAGCAGCAATAATGCCTCCCTCACAGGATCATACTGAAGACGAGGTGTCAACAGATGGGAAGCACAGTGATAGGTACTCTGACACACAATTAACTGATTCCAGAGCCAGGTTTGGCCTTAGGGGTCTAGCAAGAGGAACTCAAATAAGGTTTACAGCAAAGTCAAGACTCACCTATTACAGATGCTGCAGTGGTGTGTTCGGGCTGGTTTGGGGTAAATGCACTTCTTACAGATGGAGACGGTAGCAATGTCGTTCCTGCCCTGTGCAAATCGAAAAGAACATCTTAACCACTACAGGACCACAATATTTCTGTCTCGAAAGATTCCAAGTCACTCTCCCTCCCATTAATGGAACTGGCTACCATAGCGTGCAACTCTGCTCCTCCCCGTGTCCCTGTGGGGTCCTACCTGGGGTGGGTATCCAGGAGGAGTGGTGATGGCCTGGTAGTAATGGAAGACGATGAGGATCAGATTCCAGTGGCTATAGAAGAAATGCCAGCAGAGTCGTGGTACTGAGTAGGTCCGAAGGATGAGGGGCAGGACACACAGATAAGCAATGGCCACAATGGATCCAGTCAGCACGATCACCAGCACCACAAACACCTGCCAACACCAATGAGGTCAAGAAGACATTTCCCTGGGCATGGAAGGTCGGGTTCCAAAGCTTATGTGAGCCTATCAGAAACACCCCTCTTCCCCCAAAACTTGCCCTTCCCTGTGCTTCCTGGGCATCATCACTCACCACTCCAAACCAGCGGATTACACTGTCCACCAGCCAGTAGATAGGCTCAAAGGCCGCATCAATAGCAGTGTCACTGCCTCCGAAGGAGTTGTAGACCAGGGAGCGCAGGCAAACCTTTCCGTAACGCCAGCGCTGTACCAGGCCCCGGAGCAGAGGTGGACAGCGACGCCTATAACCCAGGAGCAGAAGGAGACGCAGGCAGAGGCGGGCTGGGCCCAAGAGCAGACTCCGCTGGCCCCGCATGGCTCCTAGGAGAAAATACTAATAAAAGGATCCAGCCTGATCCTTGTCCTATCCTACCCCATCAATGAGAAGGCTTCTCAAAACTAAGGCCAAATTAGGCTATTAGGTTAGTCATCAGCTGTGGAAAGACAAAAAGGTCACTTTTCTACAGACCTTCCAACCATATTACAGGAGGTAGGGACTGAAGGTTCTCAGCCTACAAAAGTAGTATTTACATTATATTACCTGATCATACAGCAAATCCCGAGTAGTTTACACCTGAAGGGCCACAGTACAGGGAGAAACAGTTGGCCAAGTCAGAGGAGTCCTGTGTGTGTACAGCACATGTGTGGAGGCCAGAAGTGGGCATCGAACATTTCTTCCCTAGTCACTCTCCACGTACTTTTTTTTTAATGAATGCTTGCCTGCATGTATGTATGTGTATCATGTATGTACCTGGTGCCCAGAGGTCAGAAGAGAGTGTCAGATCCCCTGGTGCTAAAGTTACAAATGGCGGTAAATTGCCATGGAAGTGCTGAGTCTTCTGCAAGAATAGTTAGTGTCTGACTGGGCAAGATGACATGTGCCCCTACTCCCAGCACTCAGGAAGCAGGCGATCTAAGTTCAAAGCTACCCTGGTCTTTGGGCAAGCTCCAGGACAGCCAGGTTTACACAGAAAAACCAAAATAATAATAGTAATAACAATGACAAACAGCAAGTATTCTTTTTTTTTTTTTTATTAAAAATTTCCACCTCCTCCCCTCACAGCAAGTATTCTTAACTGCTGAGCCAATCCTTCAGTGACCCGCTGCACCAACCCCTGACACATATATACACCTCTTCCTTCTTTTTTGAGACAGGGTATTTGACTAAACCTGAAACTCACCAATTCAGCTACTCAAGCTCCAGGGTCCACCTATCTCTGCCTCTCCAGGATTAGAGACAGACGCACTGGTCTTTTTACATGAGTTCTGTGGGATCAAACTTAGGTCACCATGCTTGAGGAGCAAATACTTTAACAGCTAAGCTCAGAGTTTTTTGTTTTGTTTTGAAGATACCTGTCTAGAAAGACCACGGAGTAAAGCTTAACCAACATAAGCAAAGCAGCTGCCACTGTATCTTATCAAGGCGTTGAAGCAGGTAGTGGGGGGGAGGGGTTGTCCCAGGATCTCCTGCTTACTCTGTATGTAATGCCCAAGATCCTGAATCTAGAACTTTCCTGGTCCTATCCCAGTGTTCCTACTCCCATCTGGGCTGGGATTATAGGCCACCCAGAGGATATGATTCCTCATTCCCTGTTAGGACAGTCAGCCCCCACTTGCAGGACATAAGATACTTTGTCTCCAATTCCACTCCCAGCCCTATCGCCAGGGTTATAGCAGCCAAGGTAACTTCAGGTATTCAGAGCACAAGACAAGTGGTAGGAGGGAGCAGCCCCGTTGGGAGCTTTTCCAGGTCTTCTCTGATTAAGCACCATTTTTGTGACTGATGCTCACAGCCCCAAGCTTCCCAAGCACTTCATACTGGCCCTCAGCACTCTCCATGGTTCCTCTTAATGTGCCTGCATCTCTGCACTCTTCCCAAGCAATGAATACAACTCAGGACACAGAGACTCCAACAGACTTTCCATGATAGTCTCATTAGCTGCATAAAAATAATGTTTTAATGTTGGACAGGGAATACTGCTTTGTCTTCAGCAACCCCACTGACTTATTTAACAGGCAGCTCACAACCCAGCAGAAACTGGACCTGGTCACTCTGCTGTGGAGATGGGTTTCAGTTCAGTAACTGGAGTAATGTACTCTGCTTGCACCCTGGTTCATCCCCGCAAAAGGCTTTTCAAAGAAAATAGCTAGTTATCTCCTTTCACAAGCTTGGAAACCCAAAGGTGAAAAGAAATCGTCCAAAAAAAGGCCTAAAAGAAAACTGGAGCTTAGTGGGGAGAGACCTATAGACACTGCACCAGGTAAGAAACTAGCCTTTCCATCACTTCCTAAGATGCAGAAAGAATTAACAGAAAAAGTAGAAAAGAAAAATTGAGGTTGGCAGTAGTGGAGCATACCTTTAATTCTAGCAATCAGGAGGCAGAGGTCAGCCTGCTCTACAAAGCCGAGTTTCAGAATAGCCAGAGCCACACAGAGAAACCGTCTCAAAAAAACAAAAACAAGCCAGGCAGTGGTGGTGTACGCCTTTAATCCCAGCACTCGGGAGGCAGAGGCAGGTGGTGTGCTGTCCCACAGCAGTGTACCACCGCACATCTCTTTTTAGGAGTAATGGAGAGTGCTCTAGTTGCTGGAATGCTTTTTATAGTGATACTGTGCAAAACTCAGGTAATTTCCTAATTTGTAATAAATGCAAGTTATATGTCACCTCAGAGCTATCATGGTTAGTCTTTTTCAAAAAAAAAAAAAATCCTTGAGGCAGAGGCAGGCGGATCTCTGTGAGTTCGGGACCAGCCTGGTCTACAGAGCTAGTTCCAGGACAGGCTCCAAAGCCACAGAGAAACCCTGTCTCGAAAAAACAAAAAAAAAAAAAAAAAAAAAAAAATCCTCAAAAAGCTGAGCGTGGTGGTGCATACCTTCAATTCCAGCACTCAGAAGACAACTCAGGTTGATCTACATAGTGAGTTCCAGGACAGTCAGAGCTACATAGTAAGGCCCTGTCAAAAAAATACAAATTCTTTTTTTTTTTTTTAATTTTCAAGACAGGGTTTCTCCGTAGCTTTTGGTTCCTGTCCTGGAACTAGCTTTTGTAGACCAGGCTGGCCTCGAATTCACAGATATCTGCCTGCCTCTGCCTCCTGAGTATGGTGGTATAAGTACACCTGGAGGCATGAGGACCAGAAGGTCAAAGTCACCCTTGGCTACACAATCAGTTAGAGGCCAGCATGAAAGACAGAAGACTATGTCTTAATAAATAAATAAACAAATAAATCAGGGCTAGAGAGATGGCTCAGAGGTTAAGAGCACTGCTGCTCTTCCAGAGGTTCTGAGTTCCATTCCCAGCAACCACATGGTAGCACACAACTATCTATAATGAGATCTGGTGCCCTCTTCTGGTGTGTAGGAATACATGCAGGCAGAACACTGTATACATAATAAAGAAATAAATCTTTAAAAATTTTTTTAAAAAATCAGATTGTCGGTCACCTCCTACATTCTTGATTCTGAATGAAATACCTATTTCAAAGGCTCGATTGACCAATTCTCTTCTATGTATACCCTATTTAAGATTCAATTCTTTTCCTAAGTAGTCCAGTAACCTCCTTCTCTAAACCTTAATTTTTTTGCTGTTGTTTATCTTTTTCAAGACAGGGTTTCTCTATATAACATCCATAGCTGTCCTGGAACTTGCTTTATAAACCACGCAGGCCTGGAACTTACAGAGATCCACCTGTTTCTGTCTCCCGCGTGCTGGGATTAAAGGCATGCAGCATCATACCTGGCCCAAACTTTTAATTTTTTTAAACATATAAATGCATGTTCGCACACACAAACACACACACACACACACACAATGTAGCCAAGGTTTAAATCAGATGCTTATGAACACCTTAGACTAATACCTGGCCCCAACAAGCATTCAGTGAATACCTGTGGTTGAACGAATGGCCTGGAGAGGCGCAAAGCTGGTCAGCTCTACGGAAGCCAGCAAGGACACTCTTGCCAAGGCGATAACATCAAAGTATTTGTTGCTCTCATTCTTTCTGATTAGTAAAGAAATAGAACCATTATTAGAATCATAGCACCAAAGAACAATAATACATTTTATAGGGCCAATCAAACCAGAAAACAAACATGTAAAATTGAAAGCTTGCAGATGCTGATCAAATTTGAGTGAACAAAATGTGAAGCCAGGCCCCTCTCCTCACTTTAGCTAGTGGGCCATGGGGACAATGACGATGCTAGGAAATGTATTGTCCATAGGTCAAAAGTGAAGCAGAGGTTTTACCTCAGGAAATAGAGAAAAGGCATATATTTTAAACCTAAGTGTGGCAAGAGGGCATGGATGCCCTCAGGGGCAAGCACACTTCCTTCAAACCATTAGCAGTGTCCCCCTCAGTAGTACCCACCGGCCACAGTGGCCATCTGCCACCAGATTAGAGACTAGCAAAAAACAACAGCCCTCCCCTAAATCACCATCTGTGTCCCAAAGAAGCCGGATTGGCAGAGAGGGAAAGGGAGAACGGAATAAATTCCAATTCCGGCAGATGAAACCGCGATCAAAGTCATGGTAAATTTCATCTGCACAAGAAAATGCTGCTCCTCTGCCACCTCAAGCTGATGTAAAACATCAATAAAGCACAATATTCCATTTATGGAGGCTTCTTTCCCGGCAAACAAGCTAAAACGAAAAGAAGGCAAAAGAAGCGGTAATGTTAACGTCGAGCTGCTCCTTCACAGTTGAGGGGCTCGTCCTTTAAAGTATCTGCCCGCAAGAGAAGAATCTGTGGTTTTACAAAACCGGAAAAAGGTCGTCTCCAAGAGCAGCGGAGTCCAACTATGATGGGATCAAGTCAAAAAACAGGCTAGCTTGGGTTGTCTTCGAGACTTTAGACAAGTCAAACCTTGTCTCTGGATCTGAGTCTCCAAACCAGTGAAATGGGCAAGTTAGAGAGGCAGACTAGGGTTGAGGTGCGCTCAGACTCAGGAGGGCACAATCACGCAGGACCGGGCATGAAGAGAACAGGAACTTGAACTTAAAGGCCTGGACACCTGACACTCGGGTGGGAGGCAAGCGCTGCGCCTTCGTCCTTACCTGCCCCTGCCAGCTTCTCAATCAGCCAAATTCAGTCCAGTTGCCCTGCCTGCCGCTCAGTGCCTTCGGCTCCAGCTCGGGATCCGAGCCGGGCCAATCTCAGGCTGACCCACCATGCCCAAGAGCCCACAGCGGCAGCCAGCGGACCGGGTCCCGCCGCCCGCCCATCATCACTCAGCTGCGCAGGCGCGGGTCCCGGAGCCCGCAAAGACACGCCCAGAGATCTGTCCCGGAGCAGCCTGGGAAATGGAGTCCGGCCTGCTCTCGCCACGGCGAGGTCAAAAGTGCCAATTGCCGCACGTGTTACTGAGGAGCCGCTCCTCTAGCTGACCAATGAACACTTGACTTCGTTTTCATCCGGGTTTTGGACCGGGACAAGCATGGCACCACCTGTGAGGTACTGCATCCCTGGTAAGTGAGCGGTCTCCGCAAGCAGTCCCATGCTGCGTGACAACCAGCCTCTGGGTGCCCGTGGCTGATGCGGCATTTCTTCTGCAGGCGAACGTCTGTGTAACTTGGAAGAAGGCAGCCCCGGGAGCGGCACCTACACCCGGCACGGCTACATCTTTTCGTCGCTGGCGGGCTGCCTGACGAAAACCAGCGAGAATGGCGCGGTAAATGAAGCGGTTACCCAGCGCGCGTTCCCCCTCAGGCTGCCATTGAATTCTGGTCCTTGTGCACAGGCACTGCGGACGCGGGCTTGGGTGACAGCGGGATGCTTTGGTCTCTCGATTTCTCCCAGCTATGATCCCAACCAACGCTTAGCCAAAGCACAGCCTCTGCACACTCAGCTAGCAGTTATCTGGCTTGGTTGTGGCTGCGCTCGCAGAAGGACGTGGAGGGGAGGGAGAGGACGTGCAAATTGAGAGTAGCCCAGCCCGCAGAGAGCTTCCTGGTCGTGCCTCTCCCTTAAACCTTGAAATGACTCTACTGTCCCCACCTCCGCGACGGCAGTGTAATGCTGGCAATTTTCAGTGTCCTAATGCTCTAAGCTTTCCCCTGCCTCGAAGCCTATGCACTTGCGGCCTATCTGGAACATAAACCAACCCCGTAACTCTAACCTCTTTTAAATGACCTCGATAGTTTTTGTTTGGTTGGTTTTTCCAGAGAAGCCCGTCTGGATCCACTAATTAAAAAGGGGGGGGGGGGGATTTGGGTGGGAGTAGGATTGTTATATGCAAGAATCTTCCTCCAGAGCACTTATTTAAATACGTTACTCTTGCTTACATTTACCTCGCTAAGATTCTTGCCTATCTAGACTTCCAAGTGTGACTATGCAATGGTAGTGCATAATGGTGGTACACGACTGTATTCCCAGCTACAAACAGGCGCAGATAAAGAAGTGGTTGACAAATGTAAGGCAATAAAAAATTAAGAATTAAAACCTTAGGCTGGACTTAGCAGTACAGTGCTTGGGTAGCATGCCAAGCTTGGAACCAGAGATCCAAACTCCAGCTCTGCTTGAAAAAAAAAAAAAAAAAACTAAAAAGAATCAAAATTCTTTAGGGACTCCCTAAGCCTAAACCTCAAGCTTCGGGTTTTTGCTTATTTGTAAAAACAGGTTCCAGTCAGTTGGTTTTGGAAATAAACTTAAATGTCTGTTTATTCACTACATAGATTTCTCTTGCTACTTTCACGTGTCCTGCACAGTGCTGCCTTGTCTACTGGGGATATAATCCCGAGAAAAATACACTTAGCTTTGCTGCTGAAGAGGCACAGACACAAATAATAAACAAATGTTCAAATGTGTGTTGCTTGGGAATTGGATGTCTTCAAAAGGACTGCACAGTACAGTGAGACCATGTAACAGCTTTATGGCCTTGATTCTCGATAGTGAAATACTGAAACAACTGAAGGATAAGTAGAGGTAGAGGCGTGGAAAGAACACGGTTCTGACCGGGCAGTTACCCCTTTCTTCCCAATAGTCAGGAGGCAGAGACAGGCTGATGTACAAAGCGAGTCCCAGGACAGCCAGGGCTACTCAGAGAAACCCTATCTCGGAAAAAAAAATGCAATTCTGACATAAAGAATGGGCTAAACAATTTGAAATGGAAAGAAATTAGTAAAACAGGAAAACAAAAGCACAGAGTTAGAGAAGTGCTGCTTTTTCTTTTCAAAGACAAGATTCCGTTACATCAATTGCCATTAGATGGGATAAAACAAGAATTATCATTCTATAACATTTAATTGTAAATCCTATCTTTTTCAGATTTAAAAAAAAAAAAAGCAGCTGGTCTGTGGTGGTACCCGCCTTTAATCCCAGCACTCAAGAGGCTGGTGGGCCTCTGTGAGTTCAAGGCCAACCTTGACAGGCTCCAAAGCTGTGCAGAGAATCCCTGTACCAAAAAACAAACAAACAAATAAAAGCAGACTAAGTTTGGAGGAGTCAAGATAGCCATAATTATAAGCAGTATGATTCTATATCAAGAAACCACGTTGCATGTGGACATGTCTGCCCCTCTTCTCTTTGGGAGTAGGAATGTATCCATAACATGCTACATTGATCAAGGAGTTCTCAGGGCTACCAACCTTACAGTAGAGGTTGAGTAGTAGTATATTTCTCCTACATTAAAGGTAAAAAGAAAGAAAGAAAAAAAAAGAAACCACAAGAGCATCTTCAAAAATTTAGTACTGGGCTGGAGAGATGGCTCAGTGGTTAAGAGCATTGCCTGCTCTTCCAAAGGTCCTGAGTTCAATTCCCGGCAACCACATGGTGGCTCACAACCATCTGTAATGAGGTCTAGTGCCCTCTTCTGGCCTGCAGACATACACACAGAAAGAATATTGTATACATAACAAATAAATAAATATTTTTTAAAAAAATTTAGTACTAATCAGAGATGTTCCTATTAAATCTGGCACCCTAATTTTAATGGTCTCTTAT